ATTTTTTATTCGGGGGAATTAAGCAAGAGGGTTGTGCCTCTCTGCGCCGCTCTGCGGACGCCCCTTTTTCTGGTATATACATGGGTACACCAAACCAGGAACACAGATAGTTTGTAAAGTTACGCTCGATCAACTCGGCTACGCACCCAGCTGACCGCTTGCAAAACCCTTCATGGCTGCACGAATTTCTTCACGAATTGCCGCCTTCCAGTCAAATGGTTCTGCCGTCGCGGCAGGAGCTTTGTTAAGCAACACGAGTGGTGTGAATGCATTGGTAGTAGGAACTACCGGGGTTTCCGCTGCCCGTCCTTGCTGGGCTTGTTGTCGATTAGGGCAGTTGTGCGAAAGATGACCCTTTTCTCCACATCGGAAGCAAAGGCCTAGGCATCGTGCCTGGTCTAGCTCCATTGGCTGGCCTCTGCTGCCAAATGTGACACCTGTCCCATCGCAGCGTGTCTGAACCGGGGCGTTTGCAGTTGGCGCGGCCATCGTAGTCTGTGCTTGTGGTGCACCTTGTGTCTGCTGCTGCCGAGGCTGGAATTGTCCTTGCCGCTGGGATTGTGGGTTTCTCCGTCGGTACTGCTGCTGGTTTAGGTCGATGCGCGCGACCCGTAGCTTGTAGAGCGCATATGTGGTGGGTAGTTCTTCTGATGAATTGTACAGAAGCCGAATGATGTCAGCCCGGAGTGCTTTTTCTAAAAGTGACTTGAGTTCCTGGAAATGCGCTTCAAAGTCGTGAATATTCGCCTGGAAGGCGCACAACTCAAACTTCGAGAAGAACTCCTGCGCTGACAGTGTTCCCATCTGCATTGCTTGGAGCCGATCGTATGCTTCGGCTTGCTCATTGATTAAGAAATGCCTGTCTAGGTCTTCCCATAGTGCCTTCGTGGTCTGTATCACGGCGTTCTCATCTGTGTCGTACTTTTTCATGAACGTGGCGATGTATTCGCCCGCATGTCCCCCTTTCATGTAAGACAGGATCATGAAGACCCTGTCAAACTGTTCTGGTAGCTGCTTCCTTTGCGTGACTACGTACAATTTCATCTGTGTCTTCCAAGCAATGTACTTGGATTTTGTGCCATCAAAGGCATCGGGCTTCATTGCGCTTCCATTTAGGAATGCGGCACTGTCTTGATTCTCGGCCATCGCACCGGGATCAGATGGGGACGAGGGTAGAGTGGGAGAATGACGAGAAGGTGGATTCGAGGCTTCAGAATCTTCTACTGCTTCTTCCATGGGGTTTGGTGGGCCCTCTGGTGGTGCTTCGGATTCTCCGAGGGCGATTGAGCAGAGATGGTCAGTGACTGATTCGAGAGTGTCTCGTCTGGTTCTGGGTTCTGAACCAGATGCTATGGGTTGCAGGACTGCGAGAGATTCTGAGGGTACTCCTGTGGGAACTCTTTGTAGCAGTTCTCCACGTAGTCCTTCCCTACACTGAGGACAACGATTGCTATTATCCGGAGAGTGTGGGCACGGTTGTTGTGCGCAGTACCGTACGTTATTGCCACGTATGTAGATGGATCTTCCCTCTAGTTCTTGATGTGTATGTCCTCTACAATCGCAAGAAGGCGTGGTCATAGGGTGTCGGGTCCGTGGAGCTAGTTGCAGCAAACCCCGGGACTAATCGTGTTGTAACGACCAGATCAGGGGTAGAATTTGCCAAAGATGGAAATTTCCAAATAAGAACCGAAACGCTAATTGTAATACAGTTCTAAAGATACTGTAGCAGCCCAAAGAGCAATTGTGTTTCTTCGGTCCAACGCTCTCAAAGGGATCGTCAATCTAACTGCTACCGCTTTTCCAACACCCGGTCGCAACCGGTTGCCACGTCGTACTCAGGAATATCCGCTTGCACTGCGCAAAGCGTTTAACACCACCTATGGTAGGGCAGTGTACGATTCTAATTGGACGGAGCTCTGTTTAGCCGCCTAAGGGCTAGTGATTACAGAGGTGACTTCGGGGATGTGGTATGGTAAAAGGTTGTGCAAATGCACAGAGAAGGGTTCCAGGGGTCTGGGTCTTGATGTGGTAGAGTTCGGTAGGGTTAGGATTTAGGGTGAGAGTCGGATGTGCGTATAGGGTGGATCATCGTGTGGAGATGGGTGATGGTTGGTGTGGGAGTGACGAGGATCGTCGTAGGGCAGTTGGTGGAGACTCGAGCTAATGTCAGCAACTAACAATCCAACTGGACTGAGCTACGACAATGCTGAGGAGACAGACGAGAGGAATGTGAGTGAGAAAAGACCAGCTCGAGTCTGGCTTGTTATTGAGCAATACGAGCTCCTTATATACATGTCAGACTGAATATCTAGAATATCCTACGAATATACAGAGGTGTATGGAAAGTGAAAGAATACTATAGAATCCGGGAGAACCATCTGGATTGTGTAATATTCATGACACGGGGCAGCGCCGAGAGCTCGCCTGAAGGTTTTTTCTCGCAGTAATAAGGATTTTGAATGGCTCCTTATCAAGGATTACTATACTATTACGCAGATGCCCTCAAAGTAAGAAACCATTTTCTTATCCCTGTCTTACTCGCTCCAGGGGCCCCTCGCCTTATATACCTTTCGACGGCCCCTATTTCGTCATTCTCCTTGATTGGGCCCAATCGCTGCTTCCGCTCTCCTTTGCTTACGCCGCGCGCAGCGCGGCTATGTTGCAGCCTGAAATCGAAAAATTTTGAGCTTAAATTTCCCGCTCGCAGAACCACATCCACGAGGACAGCAGTCGCGGAGCGCAGCGCAGCGGCCTCTTGTTAAATAGTAAGGATGT